TCGTTTACGGTCTACACTGAAGGTCTTCACTCTATCTCTGACTTCAAATGACTGTACTAATAGGTCTTCTCTCTATCTCCAACTTCTAGTGACTGTACTAATAGGTCTTCTCTCTATCTCTCTAGTGACTGTACTAATAGGTCTTCTCTCTATCTCTCTAGTGGCTGTACTAATAGGTCTTCTCTTTATCTCTCTAGTGACTGTACGAATAGGTCTTCTCTCTATCTCTCTAGTGACTGTACTAATAGGTCTTCTCTCTATCTCTCTAGTGACTGTACTAATAGGTCTTCTCTCTCTCTAGTGACTGAACTAATAGGTCTTCCCTATCTCTGACATCTAGTGACTGTACTAATAGGTCTTCTCTCTAGTGGCTGTACTAATAGGTCTTCTCTCTATCTCTCTAGTGACTGTACTAATAGGTCTTTTCTCTATCTCTCTAGAGGCTGTACTAATAGGTCTTTTCTCTATCTCTCTAGTGACTGTACTAATAGGTCTTCTCTCTAGTGGCTGTACTAATAGGTCTTCTCTCTATCTCTCTAGTGGCTGTACTAATAGGTCTTCTCTCTATCTCTCTAGTGACTGTACTAATAGGTCTTCTCTCTATCTCTCTAGAGGCTGTACTAATAGGTCTTTTCTCTATCTCTCTAGTGACTGTACTAATAGGTCTTCTCTCTATCTCTCTAGAGGCTGTACTAATAGGTCTTTTCTCTATCTCTCTAGTGACTGTACTAATAGGTCTTTTCTCTATCTCTCTAGAGGCTGTACTAATAGGTCTTTTCTCTATCTCTCTAGCGATTGTACTAATAGGTCTTCTCTCTAGTGGCTGTACTAATAGGTCTTCTCTCTATCTCTCTAGTGACTGTACTAATAGGTCTTCTCTCTATCTCTCTAGTGACTGTACTAATAGGTCTTCTCTCTATCTCTCTAGAGGCTGTACTAATAGGTCTTCTCTCTATCTCTCAAGTGGCTGTACTAATAGGTCTTCTCTCTATCTCTCTAGTGACTGTACTAATATGTCTTCTCTCTATCTCTGACATCTAGTGACTGTACTAATAGGTCTTCTCTCTATCTCTGACATCTAGTGGCTGTACTAATAGGTCTTCTCTCTATCTATGACATCTTGTAGCTGTACTAATTGGTCTTCTCTCTATCTCTCTAGTGGCTGTACTAATAGGTCTTCTCTCTATCTCTGACATCTAGTGACTGTACTAATAGGTCTTCTCTCTATCTCTGACATCTAGTGATTGTACTAATAGGTCTTCTCTCTATCTCTGACATCTAGTGGCTGTACTAATAGGTCTTTTCTCTATCTCTCTAGTGACTGTACTAATAGGTCTTCTCTCTATCTCTCTAGTGACTGTACTAATAGGCCTTCTCTCTATCTCTCTAGTGACTGTACTAATAGGTCTTCTCTCTCTCTAGTGACTGTACTAATAGGTCTTCTCTCTCTCTAGTGACTGCACTAATAGGTCTTCTCTATCTCTGACATCTAGTGACTGTACTAATAGGTCTTCTCTCTATCTCTCTAGTGGCTGTACTAATAGGTCTTCTCTCTATCTCTCAAGTGGCTGTACTAATAGGTCTTCTCTCTATCTCTCTAGTGACTGTACTAATATGTCTTCTCTCTATCTCTGACATCTAGTGACTGTACTAATAGGTCTTCTCTCTATCTCTGACATCTAGTGGCTGTACTAATAGGTCTTCTCTCTATCTATGACATCTTGTAGCTGTACTAATTGGTCTTCTCTCTATCTCTCTAGTGGCTGTACTAATAGGTCTTCTCTCTATCTCTGACATCTAGTGACTGTACTAATAGGTCTTCTCTCTATCTCTGACATCTAGTGATTGTACTAATAGGTCTTCTCTCTATCTCTGACATCTAGTGGCTGTACTAATAGGTCTTCTCTCTATCTCTCTAGTGGCTGTACTAATAGGTCTTCTCTCTATCTCTCTAGTGGCTGTACTAATAGGCCTTCTCTCTATCTCTCTAGTGGCTGTACTAATAGGACTTCTCTCTATCTCTCTAGTGGCTGTACTAATAGGTCTTCTCTCTATCTGTAGTATATATATATATATATATATATTATAGGCTTTATAAACACTTTCTATGCTCTTAAACCTACGTAATTTATACAACATATAAATTATAAAATTCTATATAAATCCGCCATACGAAAATGGGATATACCCCTTTTTGCTGAGACAGTGAGACCGGGACATGGCGAGGGACGACTGTAGACAGTGAGACCGGGACATGGCGAGGGACGACTGTAGACAGTGAGACCGGGACGACTGTAGACAGTGAGACCGGAACATGGTGAGGGACGACTGAGACCGGGACATGGCGAGGGACGACTTTAGACAGTGAGACCGGGACATGGCGAGGGACGACTGTAGACAGTGGATTTATAATTTATATTGTTTGTAAGTGTAGTAATCTACATTTTTATAAATTTTGAATCAATTGTAGATTTTGTTTAACATTTTAAAAAAATGAGATATTAAACTGAATGCCGTTAGAAACCAATGGAAACCGATTTTCTGAAAGACACAGTTGGTAACAATTTAAAGAAGAAGCAGTCATTGTTTAAATAGTTTTATTTAATCTTTACCATTCAACTAAAAGTTGCAGAAATAGAACCATATAAAAAAACATGGACTGAAAAATGGAGAGACCAACATTTATTTCATCTTTAAAAAAAAATAAATTCAACTGAAAAAACACATTTAATTGAAATATAGAGATTGAATGCTTTTGTCAAAGAAAACAAGTATTTGAAAATTACAATTATGATCATGTACTGTAAGTTGAAATCAGCAGGTAATTCATCCATATTTGATGTACACAATTCTGGTGATATGTGGCTAGTCAATCAACAGGGGATAGATGATATTTTTGGAATCAATTACAATTTATGATATATTATATGACTAAACCATTATGTATATCACTAAGTGTATAGATTTCTTTCTTATAGTGTCATCATGGTCAGATTCCATGAGTCAAAGTTTAAAAACCACACAATGATAGAATGTGGATGTGGCCCTGCTCATGATGCACAGAGGTCCTCAAATGATAGCATGTTGATATGGCCCGGCACATGATGTCCAGAGGGCCTTATGAACCAGACTCATTGAAGTGTACATTATCTGTGCCTCACAGCTAGCACATGATGTACAGAGGGCCTTGTGAACCAGACTCATTGAAGTGTACATTATCTGTGCCTCACAGCTAGCACATGATGTACAGAGGGCCTTGTGAACCAGACTCATTGAAGTCTACATTATCTGTGCCTCACAGCTAGCTAAAGCTTGGTAGTTATACCTTGACTATTTTTTAAAATGATGTCCAGTATTTCCAGGAATGCCTTTCATAAAAGAACAGTCCAGAACATTTGATGGTGATCTACACAGTCGAGAACATTTGATGATGTTCTAAACAGTCCAGAACATTTGATGATGCTCTACACTTGATTTGATAACTTAACATTGAGCATTCAAGACAAACTAGAAAACAACAGAGAAAGTTTATTACAATAATCATCAAAATGGTTGTGTTTACCCTATAAATATCATAACATGGGGAATAATAGAGATAAAATGATTGAATTATTTGAAGCACACAGCAAATTAAAGCTAACTATCTATAATATTCTTATTGAAGACTTCCAAAGGCTACCTATCAATATTTTAATTGAAGACATTCAAAGGCTGTCTATCCTATTCTTAATGAAGTTGACGACTTTCAAAGGCTACCTATCTATAATATTCTTATTGAAGACTTTCAAAGGCTACCTATTAATATTCTTATTGAAGACTTTCAAAGGCTACCTATTAATATTCTTATTCAATACTTTCAAAGGCTACCTATCTACACTATTCTTCTTGAAGACTTTGAACAGGTCAAATCTAACTTATTGGAAATGAATCTCAAAGCCAAATCAACCATTGACTAAAATGTCCACAACATGACAAGCTAATAATGTCTCATCCTTCAACAGTTTAGCAGGTGACAATAAATTCATAGTATCAAGGATTCGATGACATCAAATGTCACTAGTGGCGGAGTGATGCAGGGCAAAGAGGCTGACCCCCCCCCCCCCCCCCAGCAAAATCCTTGACTTTTATATCTTTTGATAAATTTTATTTA